CTTCGATGTTCCTGAAGAAGCGACCGACAGCCAAGCTTTGCCTTCCCGCCCCCACAAACTATGTGCTCTGGCCCAAACAAACGGCGATGTCGTGGCAAAGTTCGGGTGGGTAGGGCTGGGCCCTGTGAGTCCACCAAACGTTATTGGCATCACGGCCTGACAAGATGATGTGACGTTTGTGTGTTGCACTGCATCGCCCTTTAATGGGGCAGCAAGTTCGCAAGATGGTGGCTAATCTAGGAAAACCATGGGTCAAAAATCCGGTGTTTTTTCGCCAGGGCACGTGATATTGGCAATAATCGACAAAAACCAACTCTGCAGTCTTCATCAAGATGCCAAAATCAGGTGTCAGCCAACATCTAGAACTTCCTGGATTCTCGATAACCCAAGGGATTGAAATGGTTGAGCATAACTGAGCCATCATTGTTGTCCACAAAAGTAACTTGTTACCAAGGTGCAGTTTTTGACGGTCAGAAAAACTCAAGCCAGATCTCCCCCAGATTTGGCAGTTGTCGTCCCGAAGCGGAGGGGGTCCTCCATCAAAGCGTCTAGCTCGACTCCAAGATTGACAAGGCATACCAAACCAAACCAGGGCAACTTTGCGGCCCCTCAAGAAGCGAAGCAAATGACACAAAACTTCCTTGTCAAGAACATTGCATCGTGAATTGTACTCTATATCCCAAGCGGCACAGCGGAAACCTTGTTGCACCATAGCCTTGGAAAGGTGCGCTGACCCACTGAAGATCTCTAAAAACCAGAGCTTGCGGTCTTTCGCTTTCTCCGGCAGAAAAATCTTTGGGCCCATTGCTCCACCTGCTGGGGTGCCTGAATAGCAACTCGCTGTACTTTCTTTGGAAGCTTCTGGAACTCCTGGTTGAGTCGCGCGCTCGCTTCGTAGCGCCGCACTGAACTGTCCGACAACCACCTGCCTCTCTTCTTGACATCCAAAAGGCTGCGATGTTTCACCATCCGATCGTAGGAGGGACCACTGTGTCTCAGTTGATATAGCACGGAATGCGTCCTGCAGAGGCCCAAGTCGACTAGTGCGCCCTGCCAGGCATCTCGCAGTCCGCGATAGTCCACCCGAAAGATCATCTCCCCCCGATGGAGGCTTAGATGATGACGCAGCAGGAGCCCCATCCAGGGGGTCGTCTTCGAATCGAGGAGGATGGTCTCGTCGGATAGTCCGACTTTTGAACTTTCCTGTCGGTCTGATGGATGCAGGTTGAGGCTGAAGAAGGGGTGTTGCGCTGTCGGCTCCACCAAGTCTTCTCTTCGCAAGCTCAAGGCCTCCCCTGGTCTCAGGTAGGCATCGAACATGAGGAGGACTAGCAAGGCTTGATCGATCAACTCCCTCTGAACCAGCTTCATGACTATGGCTGCAATCAGCTCCCATGGCATGGGAGGACGAGTTGCACCCGGGTCCAGGCGGCGCCATCCTTGCAAGCATCGCCTCGAGCGGGGGAGGCTGTCCTTGCCTGTGCAGCCCGGCTCGCTGTCGATGAGGGCCGCGAGGTGCTTTGTTGCATCGCCAATGTCGTTCCCTTCCTCGAAGAGACTGTTCAGAAAGAAGCAAAAACTCTCGTCCAACTTCTTCTGCCCACGAAGGAAAAGCTTGTGTTCCTTCGCAAACTTTCGAAAAATCCGCATCCGATGCTTGTAGTCCACGGCCACCTCCATGGAGATTGCACTTTGTTCCAGGAATGTCTGACCTTTGAATCGCTGGATCAATTGGTTCTCTCTCATGTAGGTGGTTCTTTTCTCTGCTCTTCCCTCTCTGGTGCTGCTTTGGAGACATTGTCGAACTGCTTGTCTGCTGTTTGCTGCCTGCTTCTTTTTTGGAGGAGGTGCTTTCGCTGCCGTGAGCTTTCCTGGAACGTTCCCAACGGCGAGAGCCCTCATCTGCCACGTTAATCTCACTTGGAATCCAGCGCAAGTTCAGGCTGGAGGAGGTTGCAAGCAGTAAACATGCTACCCTTCGACATACCCTCAACAGCGGAGGTGACGGACTACGGCCCTTCTCTAAAGCCAGAACGGTACCAAGATTATCACACAAGTGTACATGCCTCTGGCGAAAACAGGCTAAAGACCGAAACTTATGCCTCAATGTTGCAACAACTGCTCGACCCTCAAGAACTGTTATGGCCTCTGGGTGTTGCATGTACTGTGCAAAACGCAACTGCCAATCTTCCTTCTTTAAAATCAATGGATCTACTTCTGGAAAATCTACAACAAGTTCCAAAGGGTCTTCATGTGCCGCTCCAATGGGTTTTACGGACTCGGGGTCAGTGAATGGATCCAGTCGGCCCAACGCTCTCTGTCGAGGTCTATCTGCTGGGTTCCTTCCTTTGAATCGCCAACCCTCCTTGAAGCTTCCAAGTGCCAAAACAGTTGAAAGAGATTCTTGCTTTGAGCAAACTGCAATGCCTGAAAGTGAAGCGTCTGAACTAGTAAGCTGGGTTGAAGGAACCCGTCTAAGGTCCGCCGTGCTCAGACTGAGAAGCTCCCCAATCCATCGAGCCTCAACCGCAGCTACCGCCCAGAGGCGACGTCTTGACTGTCCAGCATATTGCACAAAATCGTACAACCGTCTTGGAATGCTTAACAACTCTCTCCTCAACAACATGAAATGCACTGCATGCCCCAACAATTTCTGGATTGCAAGCCCTGTGACCCTTGGTCTCCGGCTCAACCACTTGAAGGCCAGCTGCACTGTATGTAGTGGGTCTGCAACCGGCCTGACCGTGCCAGCCACCCCATCAATGCAATAACCCAAAGATTGAGCCACTGTGCAAGCATCCATCTCCTCATGAACTAGAAGCCCAACTTCCCTAAGTCTCTTCACTGCCCCATCCTTTGCCATCTGAACTCGCCTCTGGTCCACTCCAGCCACATTCAAATTGTCCGCGTAGGGCAAAAGCAGTACCTGGCCGTCAGAGAGGTCGGGAGCGGGCTTGCCATCCACCAGAACACGGTCCTGTGAAATGCCTGCTCCTATCTGTGACTGCACCTGATGAACCCTCTGTGAAAGCCACATCGCCCATGACCATCCCATGGGCACAACTCGAAGTCGTGGATGCGCCCAGCCATCATAGACGAGGGAGCCACCATGTTCGGCGCTCACCCCCCAGTGCCTCAACAACGAGGCTGGGATAGGCGGCATGCAAAAAAGGCTCCGGAGACTCTCAGGTAGTTGTAGAGAGTAAAAATAGTCCTTGATGTCTGACTGTGCCACAAAAAGCTCTCTGCCCTCCGGAATGGACAGCCTTGCCCAGGAAGCACCCGTGCCAGCTGCCAGAGTAGGAGGCGGCCTAAACCGACGGTTCGTGTCTCTGCAGTCCAGGATGAGTCGCAACTTTCCTGATTTCTTTGCAACACAAAAGGGGGTCACCAAGCCTGATGGACGGTTTGTGAACTCCACCATGCCGCACAAAAACAGGTCCTGGATGAAGGTGCAATAGGTTGGGAGACTGTCTCTCAAAGTTGGATCCATATATGTGCAAATCGGCTGTTGTTTCTCCACCATACTTCCAAACTCATCATCACTCAACAGCATACACCGAAGGGGGTCCTCGATTGTTTCCCGGCCAACATCATCTAGAACTCCTCTCAGGTCAACCGCCTGGTTGCCAGTCGAAGGAATCGAGAGCAGGCCTCTGTCGTAGGGCCTCACCGTTGTAGTAACCTCGCCCGAGTAGGACAGGTCGGTAAGCAGAAGCTCTTGTGCAGCTTCACGCATGGTCAAAAACTTGGTGGGGCTCTTCTGTTTCGAGAGATCCTTAAACAACTCATGCTGACATGCATACTGTGCTGAAGTGACAGGATGAGCAGAACAAAATTCGCCATCTCGGCTAGGGGAATACATTTCATTCAGGATCTTGATGACTGAATTTACTTTGTCGACTGTACTCCTAACCCTGGCCCTCCGTCTGCGAGCAGAAACCGACAGTCCAGCCTCTGGCTTCGTCTCAGCACACAAAGGGATAGGGAAAAGTTCTCGCCAACGGTCATCATGAAGCTGGCATCCCCTTAGGTTTGAATTCTCCTTGGTCATGCAATTGGCCTGACTCTCCACTGGCTGCCACTCTCCAGGCCTAAGAATGGCAGCATCTCCACTCCTCATGAGTCCGCCCCGCCTTCGGCCTTGCCCTTCCCGGGCTTGGGGCCTTTGCGGCGGGCTGCTTGCTCTTCTCTTGCCTTTCGTGCTTCTTTTGCTATGGCAGCTTCTGCCTTGAGCTCGTTGGCCACATGTGCAGCCAATGTTGAATCAATGCCAGCCCCAGCACGCTTGTACTTCCATCCCATCATCAAATCTGAGGAGCTGTAGTCCGGCTGACCGGGAGAAATCCGATGTGCCTCCCGAATCACCTGAAGCCTCCTGCAAATAAGCTCTGCGGATTGTAGGGCTGGAACATTCAACTGGTCAACCACCACCATCGATTCCAAAATCCTTGACAAACACTCATGTTCATATAGGGATCGATCTCCTCTAGGAATCTCAGCTGTTCGCAACCAGTACTCATGAAAGCTGCTCGGTGTCATGGCCTGATCTCTCAACTCCTTCATCAATTTCAAAGATGTTGCAGGCCCGGTCAACTGAAGTCCGCCTCCTGCTGGTTCGGCGCCGTCCATTTCTGCAACTGCTGCATTGAACTCCCTCCTCCGAACTCCCTGGGCGTCGAAGGTGATGGGGAGAAGACGCAAATCCTCCAGTCTGTAAGCGGCGGCCTCAGAGGCCTTCACCTTTCTGATCAACACGGCAGTTCCGGCCACTGGTAAAACTCCTCTCTCACCAATGACCAAACTGGCGGGTGGCAACACTGCTGGATCTCGGGCAACTATGTCACCTTTCTTGTGGGGTCCACCGTCCTCCAAAACAACCCATGTATCAACTGCTTCAACCACTGCTGCCCCCATTGCTCCTGCACCGATGGCCGCACCTCCGGGCGGGGCAGCTGGAGCTGCCCCTGGACGGACCACCGGTGCTGGAGCTGCCACTGCTACACCAGGAACCACGGCAGGTGCTCCATGAGCTGCTCGATGCGCATCTGCAAGCACCTGTCCCTGAACCCTGAAGGCACCCAGCTCTTGAGGGGTGAGTGGATCAAAGCCGTAAACATTGGCTGGGTTGATATGAGCAGGAATCATGCCAGCCTCCCCACAATAAAAGAAACCAGTGAAATCAGTATTGCTTGGAGCCATCTCTTCTATGTATATATCATGATCTGGCGTTAGGATCGCCCAGTCATTCCCTCCAGCGTGAGCTAGGAGGGCCCGACAGTGCCAGATCGGCCCTGGCTCTCCATAGTTCACCAGCACTAGCCCTCCAACATTCATTGCGAAAGTTGCATGAACCGACTGCTAAGCCCTTGGATACCCTTGCCGCCCTTCGGAGACCCAGTGCTGCTCTTCTGCGCTCCCTGCACGTAAAACAGCACAGCACTCAATGCACAGCCTAATGCGAAAACAACCAAGGCCAGCAGGGTGGCTAGGGGAGTCCACAAAGTCGGCGGAACAGGAAGATCACACGTGCAATGGCAATGACACGGAGGAGGTGGTACGGGTGGATCCCTAGCAGGGGTCTTAGACCAAAGGCCGACAGCAATCGCTATGCCAGCCACGACCAAAGACGGTTCCATGGCCGGTCCCCCCCACAGCACTTGAGATGAACATTCACGGCATTCAACTGCGTTCCATCATTCATGAGTGAACTCGGTCCATATTATTATATTAAATAAGATGCTCGCAGCGCATAATTGCATGCAATATTGCATGCGCAATCCCAGTCATACAAAATCTAGCATGGCTTGAAATCCAATTGGTGATGACATTATGCTCTTGATGCCGTCTTCTGAGACACTCAAACATTGTCTGAAAGCCGCTACAGAACTCATGCCCATGCCCTGCCGAAAGCAAACATGAATGCTATAGAAAGCGACTTTCCTGAAGGAATCACTCATCTCGAGGCTCCATGTTAGTTTTCCAGATCCACTACCCAATATGTCCAAAGTGCCAAAACCAAAACGCCATTGTAGTGCTCGGCCTGCCAGCGCACAAGGGTGTCAGCAAGGCCAAAAGAAAGACTTTGCTGTACAGTGATGCAAGGAGGTTCCCTATTCTTGCTGAAGTCATCCTCAGTCAGGGATATGAGTTGCAATGATCTTGCCACATGAGCAAGCAAAAGGATCATCTGTGCTCAGCCCTGCCTGTCAATGTAGAGGGGCCAGTGTCACTGTCACTGAAGTAGCCCACTCCATTGAAGACAGACTCAAAGTAGAGAATCTCTTTATGAGTGAAACTCACCAAATACCGATACCTGATCTTTGGGCTGTTGATGGCTGTTGGCCTCCTGCACTTGATGTTCTGTGTCGCCTACTTGACGGTGGGTTGGCGAGTCGGTTGTGCGCGACACTGATTCAAACACACATGCACCTTGGTTCTGCGTTCTAGGAACTGGGACACAGAAAACCTACGGTATTTCCCCAGGTTTGGGGATTCACCCCGTTCGTGAACATCGAACACCAGCCAAACCCAGGTGATCAACCCACACCCTGTACCTTTATAGGGCCTTAGTGCTCACGGATCCTGAGTCCGTTTGGGGGAACTCCCCACCTCCCTGGGGCGCTGCCCCTGCCCAACCCGGTCGCCGCCGACTGTGGACCGGTCGGGCAGCGCCGCACCTGCTTCTCCAGGGCTGCACGGTCGTATTTGCCTTCGGAGATGCGCACGGCCAGGACCGCCAAGTTTCCTTCCGCCTTCGACCAGCTCGGCGGTTGGGCTGTTGGGTTTGAGGGGTGCCTTAGTAGATATACCCCCCTATACCCTACCCAATGGAGCATACAGCCGTGGAATACTTTAGAAACGAATCCGGAGAAGATGCAATTTGTTTTGGACATTTGGTCCAGGCACGTGGTTGACATCGTGGAATAGTTTTTGGCAAGTCATATCTAATCCAAATTAAACAATGCATATTAATAGTAAAAAACATAATAAAACATCCATTTGAACTTGGAAAACTGTATATAAGCAAAAGGATCACCTCCACGGCACCCCCTACATACCTCAGCACTATAATTGCATAATCCAAGGGATACTACTGCAATCAAACAAAAACAATTCCAGCAACTCATGGATAATACTTAAGGTAACCCCTAAAAAAGGGGACCGGTGGTGACTGGTTTTGTTAATGATTTGGTTGGAGCAAGCTGTTTTGAGGCGATTTCTGGGTGCTGCTGCTGTATGAGGTGAAATCGTGTGCTGCTGCACATCGTGATGCTGCACATCCATGTTTGTTGTTTTGATCGTTGTATCTGTTTTAAGGACGATCATCCGTTTGTTGCTTTGAGCCGCATCCGCATCCGAGCGGATGCGGGGCTTCTTGGTCCCCAACATCCTGCAAAAACCGTCTATTCAAACAATCCATGCAACTGGAATCAATAGCTCTATATTAGCCCTATATACATTTACCAATGTAGCTATAACATGCTATAACTAAGACTATCTATAACTATTCCGTCATGCGATTTGCTCCTGATTGGCACTGGGCCTTTTTGGGTCGCTTTCATGCAGGTGAATCCTGAGCGGATGTGTCAAATGGATTCAAATGGTGCATCGGTTCAGCCAAACCTCTCCGCACGTTCTTAGAAAGCATCCCCCACCGCCATCCCACACCTTCACCTCCCTCCGTTTCGGTGGGACTGAGGGTGACGTAGCTGTGGTTCTAATTAAGACATGTGATCATGTTCCATCCAGCGCCGAACAAGGCCAGGGACGCGGCAAGACCTCCTACGTTTTCCCCGACGAATCCTTGGTAACGGTCTGGGTGACCCTCTGGGTCTGGATCCTCCAAACCTATCCTTTCTCACTATTTCACCCTTCTCAATGGCTTCGGGAACAACTTCGACTGCAAGGAGACATTGGAAAAATGCGCCTCGTGAAAGGGCCGATGAAGGCACATCATCTCATAGAGGATGCAGCCTCCCCGCAGGACGAAGCCGCTTGGGTGCCGCTCCGCAGGACGGAGAAGCCGCGAGCGAATAGATACATCGGGCGGCTCAGACGCAGCTCGGAGCGGACGAAGGTGAAGCCGCGCAAATCCATCGGGACAGGAAGAGTCACTGACAGTAAGACTCTGCCCCCCTTATGGATCCACATATACCGAACCTGAGAAGGTGATTGGAGACTATCTATGTAGGCTTGGAAGGTCCAATTACCTTCTGAGAAGATATGTGGATCCATAGGGTTAAAACTTAATATCTGGACAAACCACCGAAATCCATGTAGGCAAAGGGGTTGTTCCAGTCCCATGGTTTGGGGATTGAACTGACATGGGTCCAAAAGCTGAAAGGTGTCTTGCTGAACGAATCTGCAGCTTCCCGATCTCGCACTGGAGCTGTTACTTGAGTTCTGGAGCTGTCGCAGGGAGGAACCATCAAAACCGCCAGAACCCATGGACTCACAAAACCATCTGGTTCCAAACCAAGGTCTTCGCCTGTTTCACATGCCATCTCCACTCAACCCCAAGAAAGTGAACACCAGGTACCGTGGACACCCACTGAAAGGACACATATTCACCAACACCTTCTGCCTGTCCCATCTCTTTTTAGATGTTGTAGAGCCCATGTTCCCGAACCCCATGCTTCCTTCGTCGCGCGTTGTCTGAGACTGCGTTCAGTGAGTGTTCCGCATTTACTCGAAGCCAATTCCCATTCGACTTCGACAGCCTAAGGCCCAGGAATCGGCACCTTGGGGAGGCTGAAGAAATGGAGCGGCTTCATCTCACAGGCTTCATCTCACAGGCTTTATCTTGGTTTGATACATCAATTTAGTGGGGCCACCGGTCTTGAAGGCATTGCAATTTGAAGTTACTAGCAAAATGCACAAGGTTCAAATGTCTAAGCAAGAGGTGGTCTATCGGATGTCTTCTGTGCACGTACCCACACCCGAAGTCTTTCACAAGGTCACCAGGGGCGACCGTGATGAACTGGACAAAGACCGTGAAGAACTCGACAAGACTGTCCGTGGAAACCGGTTTCACGGCAGGACCAAATAGGGTCACCCCCCAGATTTACCAAACCTCCCTGTTTGTATCGAACAAAGCCATACTGTTTACTGGCTGCTTTCCAACAAACTCCAGAGCTGCCAAATCTTGCCAGCTGGCGGCAATTCGAGTGTGGAGGGTGCTGCAACAACGCGAAAACGTTTAACGGTGAAACCTGGTAAAATAGAACCTTATAAAAAACAAAATATCCTATGATTTTTTTTCGTTCTCAATTTTTTTGCGCCACACTAAGTCGGTGGCGTTCATCATATTGCTCACCTCGGCACAACCTGGGTTGCCCCGGGTCCGGGGCGGCTCAGCGGGCTGGAACATCGCAATGCAACACACATTTCCCATATTGAGACCCATGTCTTCAAGGTTGTCCAAGAACGATATCTCGTAGAAGGTCGCTTGTTGGGATCTGAGGACATTGTGCGGCAAGGACATTGACAAGATTCAGCTAAATGGGCGGCATATACTATACGTGTCTTGCAGGCCAAAAACCTTTCAAACACACAACACGAAGTCGTTGTTTCCAATCTTTCTAATTCCACCACGGCCGAGTGGTTTTTGCACCTTAGCACGTCCAAATATAGTCCAAACATTATCCTTGCAAACCCCTTTGCCAACTGATCCTTTTCGTGCCTACTTCTGCACACCAGCACGGCACATGAAGCTGGGTGGGACATGTTGGTGTGCAAAGGTGTGGTTGCATGATGTGGTGGAGAAGATATGTTATCACGATCACGCAAGGTCAATCATACATAGACAATCCAAGTATGGAAGAATGAGGTCCTTACATTGCGGATCATTAGGGTCATCGATGGGGTAGATGCAACTTTTCCATATATGGGTCAATTGGGGTACACAGGTGTGGGGCGATGGGAATCTGTATTGCAGAAATTGTGCGCTTGATCCGCAACGTGGGGCCCGGCCCAGCGGCACTAAACTCTCGTAAGGAACGATTGGTGGACTCGCGGTTTGAGCAAGAGGCAACGCGTCGGCCAAGCCAGCAGCGCTATATAGCTCCCCACCAATAGTGCCAACAAGTGCTCACTTACCTGCGTCAATGGACTTCGCGAGCAACCTCGTACGTTAGGTAAGCCGGGCGGCTAACACTGGGCACGCGTGTTGCCTGATGAAACTCGCGCGGCTCATATAGCAAACACACCGAAGCCCCTTTCAAGTAGTAGCTGGAGTTGCCTCTTTCAAGTTATCTGCCGGAGGCGGTCGTGTTGCCGCTCCAGTCCCCAAAGGCCAAGGGCAATCCCGCTTGGCACCTTAGCTTTCACAAATGGTGGAGCTAGAAAACCAAAGCTTTCAGCTATGTGCGCAAGTTAGACAAACCTCCGGCAGTAGCACTTGTAGTCGTTATATATAGTTCATGCGTCGGAGGCGGGTTCCGCGTCTATGGCGTAGTGTGTGCGGTGATGTTGTGGAAGCTAAGAGTCAAAACAACATCTGCGTGAGGCGATGCTGTTCTGCAATGCAGCACTGAGCTAGGTCGAGAGTCGAGGGCAACAAACCCACATGCGGCCATTAGCCTTGTCCACAATTTAAGGATGCTCCTCTGATAAACTAGGCGAAGCTACCGGTGTCAAAAATTCAATAAAGGAAAACAAAATGCATCCTGAAACGGGATCCCAAGCACACAATGTAAGTCCAGGTGGTGGTAGACTTCCAGCATGATTTGCCATCAACACAAAGCTCAACGCCTCCACGACCATCCAACCAGCAAACGACCCAGCCAACTCCCTGCCCTAAGCTGATCTTATAGAGTAGAACACTATAAACCAGTTGTGAGTTGCGAACATCGTCATCCAGCATGTTGTCAGGAAACTTATGTTTTCGATTTTCCTCTTAAATCGGAATATCTTAATATATATATATACATATATCGAGTATTAAGGCTTGGAGAATCATTTTCAAAGGGATCCAAAGGGACTAAGTGAAGGTGCCGGAAGTCCTGTCTTCTGCAATGGTAGACCCTCCGACCAAGTGCCCGTTGACACTTTTTTGGAACGGGATGTCCGAATCGCTCACTGTAGCGACACGTCTTTGGCCGGTCGTGGAGCGGCAAAGAACAGGACCGACCACATCACCAGGCGCAAGTTGAGGACCAGACCGGCCGCGGGTGACCCGCAGTCTTCACATCAACCCCGAAATTCTGCCTCTTCCCAATCTATTCCTCTATCATGTGAGGTTGTATAAAAACCCCCTATCCTTTTGCCTTACCACTTTTGGGGGGTTTTTATAATCTCTCATGTGGCGCCTGATGTCCATCCAGTGGCGCCTGATGTCCATCCAGTTGGGCCCACACTCAGCCCTCCCCAACGTCCTGAAAACCCACGGCCCTCAGTGCATCGAACCCTTCGTCCGTCGCCCTCAGAACCCGCCGTGTTCGGGCGGGCGAACCCGGCGAACCCGTCGTCCGGGCGCGTCGCTTTGGCCACGTGACTCCGGAGCAAAATAATGCGGGGTCCCAATGACCTGAGAGGATTCAAAGATCCGAACGGACACCCGGAACGCGGGCTCCCAGCCAAAGAGGCTGTGACTCCGGTAGGAAAATGAGCTGGTTTGGTGGTTTCATGTGGTTTCAATACACTTGATTACTTGTGGGTCAGTGGGTTCAACCATACCAAGTTAAAGTTTAGAAAAAACATCTCCGAAACCAGCACCTAGATTAAGATGAGCCGGACTGTCCACCTGCTATTGCTGAGTTGCGTGTCCCTATTGCTTATTGTTGTTGCTCTCAACCGTTCACATTGCAAGTTACAGTCGCAGGCCTTCTGATTCTGATTGTTTGCCCCATGTTTCCCTACACTTTCCGTTCCCACACCTCATAGTATGGCATCGGTTTGCGTCCATTTGCTTTACGGTTTGTCCTGGATCGACGACACGAAAGGGAATCTGCCGAATCCCATCGGATCTGCACTTGTTCTAGTCAAAATCCCCCTTGACTCTGAGCACATCCCTTGAGCTCTGCAAAAAAAGCATGCGTCGAATAACTTTCTTATTGTTGTCTTTTTGTCGGTGCTGTCCTTTCTTTGTCCCACAAAATTTGCCGGGACTCAGGGACTCACTGTGGCGGCGCCCGCCAGGGAGGTTTCTAATTCCAATATCTTGGCCTCGGTGGTCGTGATCGGGGAAGAATGGGCCCATGGGTTGAAGAATGGAACGCTTGTTCGAAGAAGGCCTGTGGATGCCAGTGACAAGGACGACGACCACATGGGGAAGAATTGGGAAAGGTACAAACGAATGACTGTGAAAGCCTCAGCCCTGACCAAATCCCCTCTCAATGCCCCTTGATTCTGTAGGAGACCCTCAGGGGTGCCAATTGGTGGCGTCAGGT